TATACTTTATTAGTTTACTTAACCAATCTATTAGTACTTATTATCCCAATTTTTCACTAAATTTATTATCCTTCCTTTTCTGATTATGATTCAATCTCTCTGCTGTCTTAACCCATCCTATCTCCGTCTTCTCTAAAACAACACAAACTGCAGAAGACTTTGTAGAGAAAAGGTCACAAATGCAAGAACCTGCTTGTGAATTGTTTCCACTACCACAGAACTACTAAATTAGTACAGCAGTTAGGTCTAGAAGATATTCAGCAGTTTACCTCACTAGTTGCATTTTCAAGGCTAAATTTCCAAAGCGCCCCCCTCCTTATCATGACCTATTGAATGTAGGCATACCCTGGGGACTTTCTACTAAATTATAAATACTGACCCAAGAATTCTCTGCTTTCTAATCTTCCTGAATCTTCTACTCTTTGAAACTAATTTCTGTCTCCTAGCCATGTTAAGCATATCCTGGGCACTCTTGCAAAGGCCCTCTTATTTAATTCTTGTGGCAGTTTCTGAGATACATATTATTAATTATTCCCTGTTGTCTGTGCAAGCAAACTGCACCTTGCATAGGTCAAGTGACATGGCCAGTTGACACAGGCTGATGAGGTTTTGAAGCTTGTAGCAAAGGAATAGATATACTCCAGTTTTTACAGGCCATCTGGGCAGCATGCGATAAACCTTTACCATACAGACCAGGGGATTCACTCAGAGACAGCAGAAGCAGCAGTGTTTTTTGTTTTTATTTTTGTTTTTGTTTTAATGGTTCAAAAATCCTCAGGAATTCTGATTGGCCCCACTGACAAGCCATCCAGGCCCACCAGCTGGGTGACTCCTGACCCTCCATGCTTCTCACCCTAATTAATGCAAGGTCCTTGGATCTCAGTGTGAGCATCAAGACCCTGTTAGAGTTAGCAATGACCTTTACATTTCTCAGGCTTTTCAAAATATGTAAAACAGCTGGGCATTAGGAACGCCCCTCAAACTCTCAACCCTGAAATATGAGTAGATGCACTTTCCCTAACTATGGTGTTTTCACCAGGTTTTGGGGAAATGACTTTTAATATGACTAAAACATACTGTTTTTTGAGATATGAATATTTTTGCAGTTACCCAAGCAAATTATTGAGGCATACGAAAAGATGATGTTTGCAAAAGGATTTTCTTAACTTAAAACTCAGAAGAAAAAAGAATGATCTCAAAAAATCTGGAAGGGGGAAGGGAGATTGTTTGGCTTTCATACTTGTGCCTCTGATATCCTTTTGTTCTCACACCTCATTGTATGAAGGATGCTAAATCAAACATGATTGCAGTGTGATGTTTGTGTGTGAAAATGACAAAAGCAATAGGCCAAAATCTCAACCTCATCTTGAACTCTGACGACTTTTATGGCTTTTCCTTCACTAGGCCCTCCCCCTAATACACATTAAAGACCACATTGTTCAAAAAGGTCATGGTAGGTTTCATACCCCATTTTAATACAATGTAAATGGTAACTAAACATCCAAGTTTTGTTAGCAATATTTGTATATCTCTGGAAAATGAGTGGGGTGCTATGGGAATAATTAAATTAATAAATTTGATTCTTTGGTTTGCACATTAATGCAGTTAAAATGTATCACTACTTACTTTTAGTGATTATGTCAAGATTTTCTTTTTAACATCATTTTCCTCAGAAAAAGGGTAAGGACTGGAGATGGGTTAAAAACATTCAGATGACTTGTTTAATTAAGTATTCACCCTAGCCTCAAACTTGTCCAGAATGTCAGGGTCTCAACTCCAGAAGCCTATACTAAATTAAACTTGCCGCTAATTTCAAATACAGGCCTTCCCTACCCCTTATTGTACTTGTTATGCCTGCAAGTCACATTATGAACCCTAAATTGGCATATGTATTTATTCTTGGAAGAGTTCAAATTGAGAAAAGAATCAGAAGCTTTCATTTTTCTCAGGTCTTACCATAGGCTGTCACTAATACTTTGGAGGTTTTGTGGAAGAAAGGCAGCAATGACTCCATTAGTCTTTCCAACTGCCATAAATAATTTGCATCATAAAAGTACCTACTAAATTACTGCCTTCACCTTCTGCAAAAGGATACAGTAAAAGAGGAAGGTTACAGTTGGGTTTCATAAAAGCAAGTGTAAAAAATCAAAATCTTGGCTGAATTTAAAAAAAGTAAATTTGGAGTAATGCTTTTACATAGTTTGCCAGGCACAGTGGCACAGACTTGTAATTTCAGCTACTCTAGTGGCTGAGGCAAAAGGATACTAAGTTTGGGATTAGCCTGGACAATAAATTGAGACTGTCTCAAAAACAAAATTTAAAAAATTTTCCTCTTCCACTGGTAGCTTAGCGCCAGACCTTGATTTTAATTTCTCAGTCTAAAAACAAATGTACAAACAAACAGGCAGGTAAACAAACATACTGACATTATTGGCTTTCCCTAAATGAGGCATTTTTTCATCAGTATCTGTATAAAAGGCATTAAAATGTGGCATGAGATCACAACTCAATGTATTTTCAAATAAGATCTATAAATTTTTTTGCTCTACACATTCAGTTTAAAAGATGACAAAGTAACACATTTAGAGCATCTGTTAAGCTCTGTTGAAACTTCAAGAGCCGATACCAGCTGTTGGGGGAGGGATTTCACACGTGTTACTCAAATTCTAACCAAATCTTGGTGTTTTTTTCATTCCCTTAGTGATGTCCCCAAAACCAACAGGGTGAAGAAAGAAAAAAAGAAAGAAAGAGAGAGAGAGAGAGAGAGAGAGAGAGAGAGAGAGAGAGAGAGAGAGAGAGAAAAGAAAGAAAGAAAGAAAGAAAATTACTTAGAGCTTTGATGCATGTGACCAAGACCAAAATGATCACCCTCTCCAATTCAATACAGTATTAGCACAAGGACAAAAGGCATTTAAAAATTAATTTGGAATTATTTCTACTGGATGCTGGCTAAATTTTGGAAGTTGAAAAATGAGAATATACCTAAACACTGAAAGACACTCAAGTTATTTTTTCTCCTTCAAGAAGAAACCTAATTTTCACAGGGAATTCGTTTGGTGGCATTGTTTTGGTTTTAGGTATCTGTCCTGCCAGGCAGGGGTTGCTCACAGGGCTGCATCTATCTTGAAGTATGCACAATGGCCTCTCTCTTGCTCTTCTCTCTCTGTTATTGATCCTTACAGATGCTCCAAGGCCCTTCCCCCACTTTCTCCAAATCCCAACCCCCCATTCTGAAAGATAGCTTAAGAAATAAGACTTCCTGCCTAGCGACTGGCAGGGCTGAAAGACCAGATTGTATGACTCCACAGATCAGGCCTGCCACAGTGAAAGCTTGAATAGAGTTAACCCTCTGTGAACTAAAACAAAACATTTGTATGCCCAGCTGTGACAAAGGTTAATTTAAATGGACAGGGGCCCAATATCTAAAACCAAGCATGCCTTTTTTTTTTTTTTTTTTTTTTTTTTTTTTACAGTAGCATTTCACTGACATCTTTTGCAAGGACTTGTTTTTTAACTTTTAAGTTTCCAAAGACTGGGATCATTCCTTTTACCTTATTAGAATTCTGTATGGAAGATTCCGGTGCAACTTTTTAAATCTACTTTCTTGTTTTACCATTGTAAATTATTTCCTGCCACTGAATAAGGAAAACTGAAGTCTCAATATTTAATAAAATACACACCTTAGGGGAGAAATTGCTCTTTACTACAACTGGTGGACTACATATCACTAAGAGATTCAAACTGGTTAAAAAATCTAAGTCCTCCAGAGTTATCCCCACGAAACTTAATAATCACTGCACAGGTACCTCTGCCAGCCCCTAAACTCCTGTCCAATGGCTCCAAAGACAATCTTTTCTTACGCTGCTTCTTTCTGAAAAAGCTAGTTACATAGAAAGGGAAGGAGAGGAAGCTAGTTAAGATAAAAGTATCACGATCTTGTATAAAACTGATAATTCCTACTTTTGTTTCCACTAATTTACAATGAAAACAAATGAAGCATGGGTGACATATTAAGAAGCTGGAGAACAACATGTAAGAAAGAGAAGTGACAGTACTCCTACAAATAATACTATTCCAAGAAGGAGCCCCAGTTTGCTGATTTGTGCATCCCCAGAGCAAGCATGAAACAGCAACGTTGCTTAAGGCAGATGTTAGCCATGCTGCAAGAGCCTGGGAGGCTTTCCCAGGACCATTTCATAGGGTTAATGTCACTGCTAGAAATTTATCAACTGTTTCAGAGTCAGGAGTTCTCCTGGCTGTAGCTCAGCAGTACTTGCCTACACGAAATTAAACTGCAAATTCTTAGGCTCTATATTACAAATGAAGCGAATCTTTAACGTTAAGACCAATCTTTAAGCTGTTTCTATAGCTATGATATTTTCTTGTCAGTATTAACTATACGCTGTACACTGAGAAAATTTATCATTCTAAAAAATAATTTCTTTTAAAAAGAAATTAACAATGGCTTAGTCTTACATCCCAAACCCTAATGCATCTAAGCCCCCCCAAAGAAGATGAGGCTGCCTTATCAGTGGCCTTCTGACCTCAATTCTATCTATAATTAACAGTACTAAGCAAGCTTTGGCAGATGGCAAACTAGATTAAACAATTTAAAATATAAATAAATTCTGTCAAGAGGTAAACAGAACTATTTTTAAATGTAAATTTTACTCTGTACTGGAATGTGAAGTTTAAAGTTTTTTTAATTATCATAAAATTTGAATCTGCTGTTTCTCTTTTCTCCTGCTCTTTCTGTTAAAACACCAACCATCGCCATTACTTTACTGCAACTCTCTTTGCTTCTCTTCTGTATCCAAAACACTCACAGCCCACTGTTGTGTACATGAAAACTTCTTGGCTGAATTCTGCCAAGATACAAGAAACAGTTGTCTGTGGACTTGCCTCCCTTCTCCCTCAAGGCCACTATCTGCTCTAAACCTTCAAAGAAAATATCTAAATCCTAGATTTGGGTCTTAGACTTTAACAATCAGCCTCCTTACCTTCCCATGTCTCCATTTCATGCTTCTTGGAGTCTGCTGAGAAGTTCTGTTGCAGCCATGAAGAAACAGAGATTATAGGACAAGTCCAGCTTGATGACCACCCTTCCGACACTTGGTCAATTTCTTTCTCTAAGGCGGACGGACTACGACAGTCATCCTCACAGGTCAGTTTACAAGCCAGTCATGTGATTACAAAGTTCAGGCTCTAAGGTCACAGTATGTATGGAGTTCGTTTATTACTAAAGGTTATCTAAGTGGAACTGATAGACTTATTTCTCTAGTTAACAATACTGCCTAGCAGTATTTCTCTGACAACTAGTACTGGAACATTTAAGGGAAATATTCCACTGAAATCCCCAAATTAAAAGGCAGCATTTTAGAATGACAAAATTCAAAAGGGCTTTAGCACGTGAAAGTTTTCCCTTCATTTTTCAAAAGCTATTTCATACTGTATTCTTCTACAGTCTGCATTAGAAAATTTAGAACTAAAACCTTTGACCTAAAGACAAAAACTACACTTCAAGCATCTGTTTTGTTTTGTTTCTGAGGGGTAGGAGAAGGATTACTGCTTTCTGTCATTATAACAAACAATGACAAGGAAAATTCTGAGAAAATTAAAACATAGTGCTATACATTGTTTGCAGGGCTTTAACTTTAGCCCTTGGTTCCAGTGCTAAAGAATGTTCAGAAAGGAAACTAGGTGTGCAAAATTCTTTTAGAAAGCAAAGGTTAGAAATTTCATTCCCTGCCCCCAGCCAAAAGGTTACAGATGTAAAGTAAGCTTCTTACTTCATTCCTCTAAAACTCCTAAGGTCTTAAGTAATCATCATGCTGCAGACTCTTCTCAGATTCATGGACCACAACAGCAGCATGAGGCCAAGTATATAAGACAGACTACATACACTCAAACTTTACCACAGAGCTGCAGAGACTGGCAAATTTGAGCCATGAGCTAATGACACATGATGTCAAACATTCACCTTTCCATTCAGATATCAGAACACGCCAAAAAGGGTAAGTTCTCATGTAGGGGCCCTAAGATTAGTCTCTAATAACACAAAAAAAGCAGAGGGAGTTTTTCTGAGAAGGTGGAAAGGCCCACAGAGACAATGATTCCTAAGGATAAATGCTTTTTAACTGTACAAGCTGTTTCCTCTTCTCTAACTTAGATGTAGGAATTCTTTTTTTTTGGTCTTTTTCATTTTTATCGGTACCAGGGATCGAACTCACGACTGCCTGCTTACAAGGCAGGCGCTTATGCCGCTGAGCTAAATCCCCAACCCCAATGTAAGAATTCTTAAAGGCCACATATAGTTTAATACTCCAGAAAAAAGGAGACCTTTCTTAGGTGTAGCAGAATTTGTTACTTGGTTGTCATAAAAATAAATGACACTGCTGTCAACATTACTAGAGGACTTTCTTAACCAACAGAGGACATTAGGATCATCTTAAAAGTAGAGCCTGGAGAGAAAGTAACTATAGTGATATGGAAAAGAAAAGCCTATACTCTGTTTAAAAATAAATGTTCTGGGGCTGGGGATTTAGCTCAGCAGCATAAGCGGCTGCCTTGCAAGCAGGCAGTCGTAAGTTCGATCCCCGGTATCGATAAAAAGGAAAAAGACAAACAAACAAACAAATAAATAAATAAATAAAGTTTTACCACTGCCACCACATACTTTGCCTCAACTCCCCAAACTGACTAGTTTTCCCATGTCTCATTTCAACAAGAGATTAACAAAGATTTTCTTCTCCATCCCTGTGGAGCTTAATAACTTAGCTCATAATTTTAGCAAAGTGACTATAAATCAACAAAAAGCCACTCAATTGGAAACATTTTTCTTAAAAAAAAAAAGAAAGGCAGCAAAATTTTATCTAAGTCAGAAAAGAAACCGGCTTTACAGAGTGAATTTGGGCTAAGTAAAAGTAGGGAAAGAAGTACACACTGCAGTGTGAGGGTGAGCCACCATTTAAGAAGGAACACAGCGGCCTGAAGACATTTATTTTGAAAAAAAAAAAAAAAAAAAAAAGTTCCCTGTCTCCCTAACAGACACAGGCTTATCAGAACTTGGTGCCTGTGCACACTAAGAGTATAGCAAGCTTCTGTGCACTAGTGTACCAGCCTTAGGAGGAAGGGATGAAATAGCTGTTAGCCTGGCCCCTCGTATTAAGACTGAAGCAGAGATCTGGATGAAGATGATGATGATTGGTGGTACTGAGGACTGATCCCAAGACCTTCATTCTAAGGCACATTCCCAGCCAATTATTTTTTAATTTTGAAACAGGCACTTACTGAAGCACTAAGTTGTCCAGGATAAGCCAGAATTTGCCACCCTCCTGTCTCAGCCTTCTACAATACTAGGATTACAGGTCTGTGTCACTAACCTGGCTTGTTTAAGAGTACCTTGTTTAAGGGTAGGTCTTCCTGATAAATCTTTGAAGCACCTAGAAGCCTAAAAACAAAATTTTACATAATTTAAGACAAGTAAACCTTGGTTTTGGATACACAGCTATATTACTTCACTATTCTCAGACCCACTGGTTTTGGGGGGGATTTCTTTGTTTCTCTGCTTGTTTTGTTTTCTGAACCAGGGTCTTACTACACAGTTCAGGCTGGCCCTGAACTCACTGTGTAGGCCAGGCTAGCTTTAAACTAGTGGTGGTCCTCCTGCCTGAGCCTCCTGAGTGCTGGCATCACAGATGTGTACCACCATGCCCAGCACCAATGGGTTTGGGTTTTGTTTTGTTATTTGTGTGTGTGTGTTTTGTTTCTCTGATGGTAGAAGTCTTTTATAGGACATACTGGGAAGAGTGGGAAAGAGAATATGAACATCTTCCTTATCACTCATGTGACCTGGCTGAGGCTCCCAGGAAAACTGCTAAAACTGACTGCAGAGGGAAAAAAAAATCATTTAAGAAGATAAAAAGAATCCCGGAACATATGAATAAGAAGGGAGAAAAGAAAAAAATCAGCAGTATTTCCTATTTGCCAGCATTAGCACTGTATAGAATAGATGAACAAAATTCTACATCTAGAATACACAGCATTACATCTGTGTATCTAAGAGTCCAAATTTTTAAGGGTGGAACCTTAGATAAAAAGCAAGACATGGATTCCATTTTCATTTTAAAGATATGGAAATTGAAGCCCACAGAAAGGAAGAGCCATCGATCATAAACCAACTGAAAAGAAAAGCAAATATCCTAGCCCCTTATTTCTTCCCTTATATCACATACCTTGAAGGACAGAAAAAAGTAAAGCCTATTTTTAGATGGCTCTATATAACAGCATCTCTCATTTGTTTATTTACTCACATGGCAGGCTTCAAGAAGATGACAAATTCTAGACCTGAAGAGGGTATTATCAAGATGTAAGTGCTGGGGATTTAGCTTAGTGGCTTAAGCCCCTGCCTGGCAAGCTCAAGATCATGAGTTTGATATCTGGCACACACACCGCCCCCCCTTGCAAAAAAAAGATGTAAGGTAAGTTTAGCCCTTCAGTGTAAAACACAACACAGCCAGCTGAAGTGGCCTCAAGACCACAGAAATCATTTCAGCCTTATTTGTTCTTAAGAAGCTTTTCATGGAAGTCTGATGTACAGTGAAATCCACGTGACCACATTCATGACCTCTATCCATTTCAGAAAATCAGAAATGTGCAAAAAAATGTTCTAAATTTCTTTTTAAGTTTATGAAGGTTAAAACAAAAACAAAAAAAGAGTTCAAGGTCTCTGGTTTTCATTTGTCAGATCAATGATACAGACATTCCTTATGGCAAGGGAAAGTGTAATTCAACAAAACACGAATAATGAAATCTCAGCCAAATGAAATCCACATTATCTGGGACAGAAAGCAAATCTCCTGAGTGTAGAAAAAGAACAGGAACAACAAAGAATCATTTTTGTATGATTCCCACAGATAAGCCTTCTCTACTTCTGGAGTTGGAAAAGAGAATTTAAGTGTAAAAGACCTCAGTGTTGATGAGCCAGGCATGGTGGCACATTCCTATAATCCCAGCACTCAGGAGGATGAGGCAGGAGGACTGCTGCCAGTCTGAGGCCAGCCTAGGCTACACAGTGAATTCAAAAACAGCCTGAACTACATAGCAAGATTTTGTCTCCAAAAACTAAAAGCAAAAGCAAACAAACACATTTTAAAGCATCACAATCAAGAACAGATTATAGTATGAATAAACTAGTCTCTTTTGAATGAAAAGGAAAGGAAAGGAAAGGAAAGGAAAGAAAAGAAAAGAAAAGAAAAGAAAAGAAAAGGAAAGAACCAGATACACAGTACACAAACATAAACAAATCCAACTACTATGTTTCCTGAGGGACTCGTTAGTCCCATATGATACCCGGCCTGTTTACCTTCTTCGTAATTAAGACGCAGCCTGGTCCAGAGATCAGTCCAAATAAATACTGTGGCTGTGGCTATAACCACACTTCAAACTGCTGTTAAGCAACATGTGCAACTGACATAAAAAAGATTGAAGTAGAAAATGCAAGTCCCAAATTTGCGGACAAGAAAATGTGTAATCTTTGTCTTTCGGTGCTCCTGAAAAGAAAGACACTTGAAGCTAACTAGTCTATCTGTCCATCTACATGACCTAGAAATAGTCAGATGACAGATTTTACAGTAAAGTGCTTCTGCCCACAAGGAACTCAGCTCTAAATGAGGTCACTGGGAAAAGGCATAGAAGGTATTGGTCCATCTTAACTCCCAGTGACTATGGTCTGAGTACATCCATCTTAACGATCCAGCTCCTGTTGATCACTCTTAGTTTCATTTCTCATTGCTCCTCCTAAGTATCCATGGTTCTGCCATCCATGCCCACCACAGAATAAATACGCCAAGCAGTCCTTTTGCCTACAGTAACCCTTCTCACTACTTCCTTATAGCTTCTACTGTCTCTGAGTCATCTTTCTAGATTCAATTTAATTATCAACTCCCCTGTGAAATATTTTTAGACTCCATTCTTCTAGCAGTCAGATCAGACAGTCAGAATCATCCCCCCTCCAATGCTGCCTGGGTCCCTAGAACAGATCATGATAATACATATCACCCAGTATTTTTATTTAAAATTCTTTAATCTTATTAATCCTATTACAATCTAAAGAGTCAAGCTTTAGTAATCCTAGCATCCACTTGGATTTAGCATAGAGTTGGCATTCAAAAAATCCTGAGGCAAGCAGAAGGCTCCTGGCATGTGTAGGTCAAAATTCTTTTGTTAAACTATTTCCTCTTTTTTTGAGGCAATCTGACTATGTCAGCCTCAAATGATCCTCCTGCCTTAGCCACCCAAGCGGCAGGGCCTGTAGTGGACAGTTGGTTAAACTTTGTCTTTTTTAACTGCTGGGGATCAAAGCCAGAGCCCTACATACATGCTACATAGGCACTCTACTATTGAGCTATATATAGATCACCAACCCCTTGTTAAACTTCTTACTGATACATTCATTTTCCACTTTCATTTTACATTTTTGCCTCACAGGAGGTTTATTTCCTAACAGAAACTCTACTTCAGAGTCTCCTATGTTTCTCAGCCCCTGTGTTATATATACATTTTCTACTTTTTCCCCCTTGACAGTACCAAGGATTGAGCCCAGGGCCTTTGCACATCCCCATACCTTTTTGAAAATGTTTATTTATTTATTTAGTCTTTTTTCTTTCTTCGGTACCAGGGATCGAACTCACGACTACCTGCTTGCAAGGCAGGCGCTTATGTCGCTGAGCTAAATACCCAGCCAAAATATTTATTTTGAGATAGGATCTTACTAAGGATCTTACTAAGTGTTAAGCTGCCCTCAACTCAAACTTGTGGCCTTCTTGCCTCAGCTTCCCAGGATGGTGGGATTTACTACCACAACTGGCTGTACTTCCTAATTTTTAAACCTACTGGCACAGTGAAAGCTCAGCACTGGTATTAAAAAATTTCCTGACCAATATGTCCAAAGGATTCCTATATTAGTGTAGAATCATGTGTTGCTGGTGATCTTTTGGTTAATACATGCAGCATATGTATCTCCCACCAGATTCCAAGCTTTGTGAGGGCAGAGACTGCTCACAGTCTTGCTGATCATTAAAACCCTAGTGCTTGACAAAGAAGCAGATGTTCAATGAGTGCAGTATACCAAAGGAGGGAAGAAAGAAAAGAAACAGCTTTAGAGACCAGGAACATGGGAAAGAGGGGGAAAAAAAAAATCTGTCCTTAGGCCATTCCTGTAAGCCAAAACCAGTTCCCCCAGCCTCAATTCCACCTTGGGTATATCCTGTCAATAGATAGAGCTCTTTCCTAATTCCTCAGAAATAACACTGGTTGTAAACTGGTCAAGCGGCAATTCTACCTGTGACTCACTCTATCCTTCCTCTTCACTAGAGATTAAACCTGATTCTGAGAGGTACAGTGGGAGAGAAGGCGACAGGGGCTTAGCAGTCCTCTCAGGGTAGAAGCTAGCTCAGTTGGCTAAAGGACCCATTTTTATCAAACACGCTTTGTAACCACACATAATCCCAA